AAAAAGAAAAAAAAAAAAAAAAAAAGGCTCTGAGGGAAAAGGCGAAATGAGGCCGGACGTAATATATATAATATAAATGTCATAAAATGTAGTCAAATTTTAATACTTAAAAAATACTGAATAAATGTTAAAACTATTTTCGAATTAAATAATTAGAAATTTAATAAATATTAAATACATGGTTAATAAATAAATAATAATTAATAAATATTTAAACATTTCGGTAACTTTATACTGCTTCTGCAAGAGTTGTTTATGAAGACTATATTTCGAAGTTAGAGGATGATTATGCTTCCCGTAAATTATAAAGAGTTTTCATTTCACTCTGTGGTTGTAGAACTCCCTTCAACTAGAAACAACAATTACATTTTTTTGTGCCAGTACATATTGTACTTGCTATATTTCTATTCTTTCGTTTCACCTGCTTTTCCCCAAACCGATCACAAGTAACGTATACTCTATCACAAAAATATGACATATATTTAGCTTAATATCACGGCTTTCAGTTGTGTCTCTCGCCCACTGTATTAAATCGTCTTTACAATTAAACAATTATACCCTCGAAAATATTCGGAATAATGAACTTCCCCATTATCCCGAAAAATAAATAAAATATAACAAAAACTAATTAAAAAAAAACGGATCGCATCTAAAGTAGAAGCGGACGCATGAAAGACGGTGCCCACCTTGAACGCGAATACAATGTACTGCACTCCCAACATGTGCGCGCTATCTGTTTCGTCTTCCAGGTTGTTCGCCCTCTGCCTATGACGATTTTTTGGCAAAAAATTTAAAATCTTACATCCGATTGAAGTTAAAAGGTATTGAACTCATTAGTTGATGTAATTACGTAACAAAAAACGACTTTTGACGACTTCTTAGTATTTTGAAAACCCTAGAAAAAAGTTAGAGAGAAGTCGAGAAAATAGAGCGTATAGAGAGAGTATTTTTTGTAGAGAGAGATTTTTTTTTTATTTATGTGAGGGATTTAGTAACTTTTAGTGTCGGATTTAGCACCCTCCCCCTATTTTGTAATATGTAGTCCTCGAGTCGGGATCGAAAAATTTATTGAAATGAGATTATTAATTTATCGAAGTTCTACTGTAATTGAAAGTGGTAACATGTGATTTAATGGGCCAATTTTGAAGCCGAATTTTATTGGATGCTAATATATTAATGGGCTTCATTTTAGAATACTTGGGCCTAGTTGTTATGTTGGGCTTTGCTCTTCCGGGGTTTACTTGTAAATTTAAATAACTTTGGGGGGCCCTTTTCTTATTACAATGATTGAGAAAATAACTTAAATAATTGGAATTTTAAAGTCTATGAAATATTAAAAAAATACGACCACTAGTGACTAACATATTATTTTCTCCCACCAATTATAAAGTAGGATCCACTATATGTACCACTATTATTATAAATATTTAAATATGCTTACATTTTTTCATATAACACATAAGACAAACAAAGATTTTGACGATACAGTACTCTAAGAGCCGATCTATCGGTTGGAGCAAGTGAGTCAGTGTCATCGACACAAATTCGAATCCTTTCATAAACGATCACTAGATTGAATTTGTCACACCGAGTTAACCTGACATAATTTCACGTTTCTCGTATGATTTGCAAGTTATTATACGAAAGTATATATTTATCCAGTGCACCAATATCACCTATATATCTATTTGACACTACTTTAAAAAAAATGACTTTTGCAATAAATGATTATTCTAATTTCAAATACAATTTCATAATATAAATTAATTACAACCGAATTTTAAATAATTGGATTTTATATCTTGATTCTAAATCATCATATCCTTAGGATTCTTGAAAAAGTAATATACTTTTTTTTTTTTTTGATGGAATAAAAAAAAAAGTAATATACTTAATTAAATGTTAACCTATTCATTTTATAGCTCAGGTTGTTGGCTGCAAACCATGATTAGTTGATCCATAAAATTCTGAACCCATCACAACATATATTATATAAACACAAAACTCAATTATTATATTATGTAATTAATTATTAAACTCAATTATTATATCTAATTAAACAATTAAACTCAATTATGTTTTTCCATTTATATATTACGAGAGTTGAAGGCCAAAATTCAATGATTTTGACCTCTAGCAACTGTGTGCACATGTGGTTGCATATGGAGGCGCCGGCGATCGGAACAAAATCTTATTAATTTTTAATTAATCATCTACTAATTGAGTTATTATTATTTAATTAATATTAAATTAACAAATAGTAAATGTTTTATTAATATTTGAGTATTACAGTAATCATTGTGGGCAGCACATTCTTTTGCTCGATTAATGTTTTATTGGCTCGATGTAATTTTATCATCATTACTTCCACTTTATTTCCTTTTCATTTTCTTAAAATAAAATTTGCATTAATTAATTAATTAAATCAAAATAAAATAAACTAATTTATTTATTTTTTATTTACGGCTTTTAATTAGGCGGTGGGCCTACTGTATTGAATTAGTAGCCCACAAACATGAAATTGGCTTCAGACAAAATCATGCAAGCTTCAATAAATATTCTTAACCTCACTTCTCAGTATATAATATTAAATATAGCTAGTAGATACGGTGTATGAACTAGTTTTTTGTAAATTACACTTTCCTCCCCTAACGCTGGGTGTAATTAAACTTAGTCCCCTAATACTTTCTAAAATTGCAGATAGTTCTCTCAAAGCTACACAAGTTAATATGGCTTAATTCCACTTTGTACCCTTGAAAACAATTTATGGCACTTTGCACCCTCAAAACACATTTAATAGTTCAAAATGCACCCCGCTATATTTTCAGGTCATATTTTCTGGCTTTGACTAATTTTCTGATTGTCAATAGGAGTACTTTTGTCTCTTCATATATCGACTTTTTCTGTGGGGTGCAAAGTGCCATAAATTATTTTCAGAGGTGCAAAGTGCCCAAATGGTGCATTTCGACGGTGCAAAGTGGAATTAAGCAAGTTAATATTTAACCTTATATCACCATTATTTTTTTGGGAATTCAATTTTTACTACCGACAAAATATTGAGACATTGTCTCGAAATATTGGCCTTATTGCCAAAATATTTGATTATTTTATATTTGTGATATATAAATTAAACCATTTTTTTGGGTAATTTTTTTACATAATTGTACTATAAAAGTCATCATCAGTTGTGATTGGACTCGGTATTCATATATTGTATTAACTTGCGAAATCAATTTTAGTCAAGCTCAAGCTCCAAAAAAATGAATCACATGGTCATACCCTTATCTCTATACAAGAACTGAGTAAATTACGATGCTCTGTCTTAAGATTAAGTCTATTGAAATGTCAGATGACTTAAATTTCAAGAGAGGTCGTCCGGGTAATATTTGAAATCTGAAGAAGCTAGGTTGATGTAACTTAGCTTGCCATTTAACATAAATATTTTAAGTAAGGGTAGAAACGTCACTTACTTGACTTCATGATGAATTTTAAATATAAATCAAACCTTAAGGGAGATTTCTATAATATTTCACACTTGAGGGTACCTAGGTGTAATTAAATCTAATACGTGGGGCAATAAATGTAATATTGTTTGAGTGGGTGGGTACAAATTCGGTGTGGCTTTATAAGCTATCCTTAAATGAAGCTATCTATTTTTTCCTACATCACACCAAACTCTCTCTCTCTCTCTCTCTCTCTCTCATGTCTTTCTTTGTTCCCCACCTTTCAGAAAACGATTGAACACAAATCCTTTGTCTCCTCACATTCGCACTTACTATACATACATCTCCTCTGTATCTCTCTCCCTCTCTCTCTCTCTAGGGGTTTTCAGCTGAATCACTGTGTGCGTGTGTGTTTTAATCTGTCTCTCTGTAATTTTCGCCGGAAAAAATGAGGCCAATCACGGCGAGAAACTCCCACGACTCGTTCTCGTTCTCCAGGAGATACTTCACCTGGAAAAAGAAGTCCGTCGGAGAGTACGAGGAGGAGGAAGAACTCGACGAAGATGATGTGGCGCCGGAAATAATCATGACATCAAACTCCGGCGAGATCAAGAATTTCCCACTCCGGCGTTCGCTGTCGAAGGCTTCGGAAATGAGACCACCAAGAAGGAAGCTTTCGGTTATCTCCGTCACTTCGGTCAGCTCGAAACTCCGGTCAGCTATATCTCTAGTCAAGGGCGGCGCCGCCACCGCCGCCGCCCACTTCCCGTCTTCCCGCCGCCTGGGCACGAAAGTCGTCGGAACCCTATTCGGGCAGCGGCGAGGCCACGTCCGGTTCGCGTTCCAGGAAGACTTCAAATCGAACCCGGCTTTTCTGGTGGAGCTAGCAACTCCGACGAGCGTACTCGTGAAGGAAATGGCCTCCGGCCACGTCAGAATCGCGCTCGAATGCGACAAAAGAATCGACGACAAAAAAACACCGACGACGAAAACAGCGACGAAAAGGAAGAAGAAGCGCGCCGTGAAAATATTGGAGGAGCCCTTTTGGAGTGCTTACTGTAACGGGAAGAAGTGCGGGTACGCCGTCAGGAGGGAATGTGGGCCCGACGAGTGGAAGGTTCTCAACGCCGTGGGCCCCATCACAATGGGGGCCGGCGTGCTGCCGGCGCCGCCGGGGGCGGCGGATTCCGATGGGGAGATTATGTACATGAGGGCTAAGTTCGAGAGGGTTGTCGGATGTAACGACTCTCAAGCTTTCTACATGATCAATCCCGATGACGTCAGCGGCGGTTGTCCTGAACTTAGTATTTATTTGCTAAGAGTTTAATTTTAATATTTTACTTTTATTTATTATGTATTATTTTTCTGTTTAATTGGTTTTGACTGCACATTTTATATATATATATAATTTCAACCCCAAAATAAAATAAGATAGCAAATTATGCAATGATTAGGCATGAGTTTAGCAAGCAAATCATTTTTGACTCCAATAAATAATAATACATGTGAATATGCCTACCTAATAATGCCTAATACATTATGTATTAATTACTATAATGAATTAATAATGATTGAAGCAGTATGATAGAGTGGGGGATTATTTTGTCAAATAATTAAAGAATTAATAGATATAATTTGATTAATTTCAAATATGGAGAAGATTAATTAGCTTTTAAAGAGACTAATTTAATTCATGCTAAATAAAAAAAAAAGCATGCAGTTAATTGATAGTCACCATTCTCTGACAACTCACTGAAACTACAAACATTAATCTGCCAATAAGAATACAAAAAGATGTCTTGTCTGTTTATAATAAGAACTGAAAAATATATATATATATTTAATATAAGAAATAAGAATTAAATATGAGGCTGGATATATTGTATCAGGAATTGTAGGCTACTGTAATGGCAAATTAAATATGTCACAAAATCTTTGGTCAAAAAAGTATATTATTATTGTATATTTTCAAAAAGGTTCTTTTATTCTTTTGAGGCGCCAATTTCTGAATATTTTTTGCTTCTTTTTTAATTTCAAAGATTTGCTTACACATAAAAAGCAGGGGAAAATTGGAAAAGGTGAAAGGACGAAAATAACCTTTACCAGATGGGCCCCTGATCTACTAGAAGCAGGTGGTTTGGGCCGAGTAAAATTCAAGGGTTTGGACCAATGAAAGTACTAGATAAGGGCCCGTTGAAACAAATGCCAAAATTGAAGGGTTTTGGGCCTTTTTGTAATTAAGATTAGTTTTCTCTGCTCGTTCCTTTTGTTTTTTTCCTATTCAAATCTATCAAACGAGCTATAAGACAATGGTCGTTAGGTGGAGCTTGTCTCACATGATTAACCTAGTGTGATTTACTTTTATCGTATAGTTTGCAAACTATTTTACGTGAGTGTAAATTTACCCAGTGATTTTATATGGCGGCTGTGGTTCTTTCATTAAAAAAAAAAACGGAGCTATAAGGAGAATATTATAGTTATAAATATCATTTGCAGAATTTAGTTTTCAAAATATATTTGATAGACTTATATTCAATTTCTCATAATAATAATTATAATGATAATAATAATAATAATAATAATAATAATAATAATAATAATAATAATAATAATAATAATAATAATAATAATAATAATAATAATAATAATAATAATAATAATAATAATAATAATAATAATAATAGTAGTAGTAGTAGTAAAATTATTATTATTATTATTATTATTATTATTATTATTATTATTATTATTATTATTATAGTCTTTCCGCGTGGACTATGAAGTCTTTGCATCACCGGAAGTCAAAAGTCAAAACACACAGTCACACACCGACGGTGTCACATTCAAACTATAGTTCAAGTTGACCAAAAACCAAAACAATTAATAAATCAAGGCCATCTAATTAATATTCATGAATTCTTATTAAAAAAAATAATAATACTCATGAATAATAAATAAATCATATCAATATCCGTTGACAAGTTAATAAATCAATCAAATAAATGAAATGCATTTTATGCATATTGTATATGTATATATATATATATATATATCATTAATAATCTGTACAATGTTACAAGAAAAAAGTAATTAATCCCGAAACCAATACGATCGATCACTCTGCGCGTCAACATCATTTGTTGCTACGCCGTCGTTTTAGAACAAAAAAAAATCGCTAAATACATATTAAAATTATACCCGTATACGTATATTAAAAGAAAAAATAATAATTAAAAAAAATAATAAATATAACATTAAAAACTAATTTCCGGGTACAGAATTGTGCCTCTTGGATGGAGCAGAAGGTGGAATAGGGACTCCTTTAGGAAGTTTAGCAAAGTACAATTTATCACCTTGAAAATAATCAAAAGCCGCCATTGACGACGACGAAGAAACACGATCATCAGCTTCCTTCTTCATCGGCCGAATCGCGGTACATGAATCCATTACCAGAAAACCAAGAAATATTATTGCTATAATCATTCGCCACGCGGAACTTATATTAATTACGGTTTTACACGAGAAATATTGATTATTACAAGAAGAAGAAGCCATTACAGAATGAATATTGAATATTCTTGTTTTCTCTCTGTGTATGTAATGTATGTATGTATATATGATCTATATATCCTTCTCAATTTGTGTTTGGGTTGTGTCTCTTTTTGATATGTATATATATACATATGAATATATATTGAAGAAAATTATGGTTGTTTTGTTAGGAGTAATTTACACGCAATAAGGTGTTGAAAATTCAATGTCAACGGTTTATTTTTTTGCAATATTGTAATTAATGCCGGCTGGCTTGTGTTTTCCTTTGAAATTTCTTGTACGTAAGCACCAAGAATATTTCACATGACATATTTTCTTTTGCATTTAAAATTTTACTAATTAATTATATTTATTTATTCATGAAACTTGCCACATGGTGAACAAGGAAATTTTGCCAGCCCATATTAAAATTTTATAATGACTGATCTTAGTTTTATTTAAATTTAATATAAGAGAATGAGTGTCACTAATTAAGACGACTGCAAAATAATTTTTTTTAATCGACTATTGATATATTTATGTGTTATCGGTTTTTCTCTGCATGCCCATATATATTATAATTATATATATGGGCATGCAGAATAATAAATATATACTTTATATGATATGTTTATTATACATATATATTTATAAATACTTATGATATGTGATTAATATGTTAATGTGTTTATTATTGTATTTACTATTTAGTGAATATATTAATAAGAATAGTGTATATTACTCATAAATAAGGGTTCAAATATTTAATGGCTTTGTCCCTAATTAATATCTAGAGTTCCCTTAAGTACGGTCCATGTATTAATGCACCTGCCACGACTATTGCTTATTTTTGCTCGAAATAAAAAAGTATTAAAATTACATAAGAACTAAATAAATATATTGGTTAAAATACACACACCAATATGTATGCGTGCTTGGTATATTGATTTGGTGTGAAAATTATCAATTTGACGACTTTGATTTTAATTAATTAAAAAAATCAATACTAGGTATTCTACATTTGATTAATCACAACAGTTGGATCCAAGAAAATATTATTCAATTTCAAAGTCAACTGTTAGAAAAAAAATATATGTTGACTTTATGATAGATTTTCTTAAATAATTCATGTAATTAATGACGTGGACAAAAGAAAAAGTGGTAAATGCAGAAGAAAGACCGACAACATTCCAATGGTTTTAAGACTTTTAGTAAACGTACGTTAGGCTCAAATCGGCGACTTAGTGTTGGATTATTTTATAGAGTAAAAAGCAGTTTGCCTCCTAAACTAATGGCCGTTTTGCACTTTGCCCCCTAAACAAAAAAAAATTGCACGGGTTTACCTAAACTCGTTAATTCGTTGCACGGTGCCCCCTAAACTCAATTTTCCGGCAATTTTGGACGGAATGTTATATCATGTGCGATACACGTGTGATTTTCAAGGGTAAATTTGTCCATTCCTAAAATTCGATTTATTAAATATAAATTAATCACTAAAAAAAGAAAAAAAGAAAATTGTCATCTTCTTCCCATCAACCTCCCAAACCCATTCCCATACCAAAAGAACAGAGAGCATTACCGAATGGAGCAATTAAACTTCATCTCCATCTATAACAAGATCTTCAATCAATTCTAACAGAGGGCTCCATCACCTAAAAATCTTAACAAACCAGTGGCCACACAGTTGCACACATGACACAACATACATTACCAGATAATTATTTATTATTAAAATATGCAAATTTCTCTCTCTAAGAAGAAAACAATAGCTACTAGTTCTTTTCATCTTCATCTTTAAATCTCTGTATCCCTTAATTGAAATCCTCCACCACAACCGCACACACACGCGCTATGGCGTCTCTTCTCACCAACTGGATTTCGCCCTTCTCCTCACAAACCGTCTCCGAATTCTCCAAAGCGTCTCTATTATACTTCCACCCCTCTCTCAATTCCACCGTCTGCAGAAAACCCTAATTCCAGAACCTCCCTCAAAATCAGGGCCGTCATCTTGCAAAAAATCAGCCCTATTCTCCCAATTTCCTTCTTTTCGCCCCAAGCAATCTCGCCCCATTTGAAATGAAATTCAGGCCGGGAGAGAAAGAGAATTTCGACTCTGCTGGAGATTAAATGGCAGGGGGAAAGTGTGAACGCAAAATAGGGAAAATTGACTGTAGCACGGTCGAAATGAAGGTAGGGAAGTCGGAGGAGGTGATGATGATGATTTGCAGGTAGTTGGTCGGCCAAGGGAAGAAGATACAATAACATTCCTCTTTTTTTTTTTTTCCTTCTTTTAATGATTAATTTATATTTAATATATATAATTTTAGTGAATGGACAATTTTACCCTTGAAAATCACACGTGCATCGCACATGATATAACATTCCGTCCAAAATTGCCGGAAAATTGAGTTTAGGGGGCACCGTGCAATGAATTAACGAGTTTAGGTAAATCTGTGCAAATTTTTTTTGTTTAGGGGGCAAAGTGCAAAACGACCATTAGTTTAGGAGGCAAACTGCTTTTTACTCTATTTTATATTTGCAGTCTTGAATTTATTATAACACAGATAAAAGTGTTATATGATATTAGCACTTTTGTTATTTAGTTTAGCTAATAGCGCTTTTACATTTTACACGTGTAAAATCGGGTATATATATACCAACTCTTTGTGACCGTTGTAATTAACTCATTTACTTTAATAAAAATTAGTTTTCTTCTCTTCTCTCTCTCTAACAAACTTTCCCTCTCTCTCCCTTCTGCAACCATGGAGTTTTTCACCTCCATGTGAATTCTTTCAATCAACATGGTATCAGTTTGAATTTTTCCGTTTCTTCTTCGTTTCCGCTCTGTTCTGTGCGATTGCGTCCGTCAATTTCTGTTAATTTTTCCTCAATTTCGTTTCAATGGCGAATCGTACCACTCGCGCCCAAATCGACGATGTTTCGAGTTCATATTTTTTGCATCCTTCTGATGGTCCC